GTTCCTTTTGCTAGGAGTATTGGTCTAGAGCACTTCTGTTCTAATGCTCTTGCAGAAAGGAAAATTTGGATTTTATGGGATGAGAGAATCAAGTTGAGGATCTTATTTGAGCATGATCAAGTATTGACTGTGGAAATAACTTTTCTGAATTCAATTATTTTTTGGATCTCAATTGTGTATGCTAGTTGTGATCTTTTTACAAGAAGGCTTTTATGGGATCATTTGTTGGGAATTGATGTTCCTTCTGATGTTCCTTGGATGGTGGTTGGTGACTTCAATTCAATCCTATCTTCTGATGAAAGATTGGGGGGAGCCCCTCCTTCTTTGCTGTCTATAGAGGATTTTGGTGACTTTTTAAATCATAGGGGTTTGTTGGATGCTGGTTTTGTGGGAAATAAATTTACCTGGTGTGATAACAGGAATGGGGGTATCAGAATGAAGCAGAGGTTGGACAGAGCTCTGATTAATGCTTGCTGGAATTTGGAATTTGATAGTATGGAAGTGGCTCATTTAGCAAGGGGCTCTTCTGATCATAGCCCTTTATTGATGAAAATTATGGATGCTCCTGTACAGAAAAGAATTTCTTATTTTAGATTTCAAGACATGTGGTGTGATCANAGGGTATCAGAATGAAACAGAGGTTGGACAGAGCTCTGATTAATGCTTGCTGGAATTTGGAATTTGATAGTATGGAAGTGGCTCATTTAGCAAGGGGCTCTTCTGATCATAGCCCTTTATTGATGAAAATTATGGATGCTCCTGTACAGAAAAGAATTTCTTATTTTAGATTTCAAGACATGTGGTGTGATCATGAGGGATTTCTTGATCTGATTAAAGCAAATTGGGGGGGGGGGACCTATTCAGATAATCCAATGTCAAATTTGTTCATCAAGATGAAATACTTGAAGGCTCATATGAAGATGTGGAATAAAAATGTGTTTGGCAATCTCTTTGACAAATTGAAAAATCTTGAGCAAAAAATAAGTTTGTTGGAATAGGAGTTAGATCAGAGTTTTTCTGATTCAAAAGACATGGAGTTAAAAGCTGCTAAAAATGAGATGGATGATTGGTTAAGAAGAGAAGAAACTTATTGGAAGCAAAAGTTAAATATAAAATGGGCTATACAGGGGGAAAGGAATACCAGATTTTATCATTCTATTGCTAAAAGTAGAATGGTTAGGAATAAAGTCTAAAGAATCAAGAATAAAGAAGGGGTCTGGGTGTATGGGGATAAGCAAGTGGCCGAGGTTGCGGAGGAATTTTATGTTGATCTCTACAAGACTGAAAGGCATATCATCAATGAACAAATTCTTGTTGATGTTATTCCTAAGCTCATCAGTCAAGAGGATAATGAGTGGCTTACAGCTGAAGCCACATTGGAGGAATTGAAAGATGTGGTCTTCTCAATGGCAGTTGAAAGTGCCCCTGGGCCTGATGGTATGTCTGGTATGTTTTTTCGATTTGCCTGGGATATTGTTAAAATGGATGTGGGCAGAGCTGTTAATTTTTTGCTAGCAGGAGGTTCAATGCCTAAATCTGTGAATTCCACTTTATTAGTATTGATTCCTAAGAAGGAAAATCCATGTTCATTTGCTGATTTCAGACCTATAAGCTTATGTAATTTCTTATATAAGATCTTTACAAAGCTTCTTAATACTAGACTGTCTTCCCTGCTTCCTGCTTTAATTTCTGAAGAACAACATGGCTTTGTCCAAGGGAGAGGCATTGGAGATTGTGTGGCCTTGGGACAGTTGCTTGTTGGAGAATTAGACAGAAAGGTGGAAGGTGGGAACATGGTTATGAAGTTGGATATGATGAAAGCATATGACAGGATGGAATGGGATTTTTTGTTGAGGGTACTGGCTGGCTTTGGTTTTTCTGATTTGTTCAATCAAATTATTTTGAATTGTTTGAGTAGCCAATTCTTTACCATATGTTTAAATGGACAAAGATATGGTTATTTTGCTAATTCAAGGGGGTTAAGGCAGGGAGATCCTCTCTCTCCCTCCTTATTCATCCTGGCTGAGGAAGTGCTGAGTAGAGGGTTGAGAAGAATTTATAACCAGAATTTGGTGAAACATTTCCATATTGGGAGAGGAACAACAATTGTTAGCCACTTGTTATTTGCTGATGATACTCTGATTTTTCTAAGAGGTAATAAATCCTCTGTTGTGAATGTTTTGCAATTTATTGAGTTGTATGAATCATGCTCTGGTCAGAAGGTTAACAAAATGAAAAGTGCTATCTATTGCTCTAAGCTGATCTCTTTATCCAGAAGAAATAGGCTGGCTTCTGTGATGGGGATTCCTTTTAAGGATTGTCCTTTTACCTATTTGGGCTGTCCTATTATCAGAGGAAGAGTTAAGAAATGCTACTTTGAAGAGGTGGTGAACAGCTTTAGAAGAAGACTTGAGGGTTGGTATGCCAGACTTCTATCTGGAATGGGAAGAGTGGTATTGGTACAGTCAGTACTCAGCTCAATCCCCATTCATATATTGGCTTGCTTGAATATTCCAAAAGGTATTTTAAGTAAGCTGAATTCTCTTATTGCTGATTTTATTTGGTCTAATCAAATTGGTTCCAGGAGGAGACATTGGGTGTCACTTAATGATATTTCTAAGCCCAGAATAGAAGGTGGTTTGGGGATTAGAAGTTTTGATGAAGTTCAAATGGCATTCAGAATCAAACAGGTGTGGGGTATTTTAAAGGGTTCTTCTTTGTGGGCCAAAGTCTTTAAAGAGAAGTTTTTTCAGGGGAAGCATATGCTAAGATGTAGTAGCAGTGGTGCAGGTTTATCCTTTAATGTATTGAGGCCTTGGTTCAATTTCACAGTACAGAATTCCTTGAAAATTGTTAGAAATGGTCATAACACTGATTTTTGGTGTGATTCATGGATGGAAACTGGCCCCTTGATTCTTAGAATGGAGAATCTTCCATTGATCTTTCCCAAGATAAATGAATTATGGAATGGTGTAACATGGCAGCTTAATGAGGTTGCTGAATGGCTTAATCCTCAGTTATGTTCTGAAATTGAAAGCGTGGTTTTTGTGAGATCTGAGGAATCTGATAATCTTATTTGGAAGCATACTACTTCAGGTGAATTTACTGTGAAATCTGCTTGGAATCAGATTAGGAAAGTGGGGAACCACAATGCTATTGCTAAAGGCATATGGAAACAGAAAATTTTTCCTAGTGCTCAACTTTGCACTTGGAAAATTTTCAGAAAAGCATTGACCTCTGATGATAGAATTCAAGATGTGGGAGTGGCAATGGCTAATAAATGTGTCATGTGTGGTGTGGCTGGGGAAAATGCAGCTCATGTATTTATTGATTGCTCTTTAGCTCAAGCTGTCTGGAGTAAAATTGCTGCAATTATGGAATTTGATGTTTTTTCAGGAGAGGCTCCTTTATGCAGATTCTTGAGATTGTTGAGAAGGTTTAAAGCTGCTTCTCTCAGTCATAATCTAATAAGAGGGGTAACTATGTTAATTTTTTGGGCTTTGTGGAAGGAGAGATGTAGGAGGAAATATGAGGGAGTATTTTTAAATGCCAATGCTATCTTCCAGCAAATAGTGAGTTCTTTAAGATGGCAGGCTTTTCTTATCAGACCTAGATCAAATGATGATGGTAAGGGAAAGGAGTTGTTGAGAGACTTGAGTATTAAAAGTCCTTTTTCCTTAATCACCAAGGTTAAATGGATTAAATGGGAACTTCCTCCTGCAAATGTGCTAAAGCTTAATGTTGATGGTGCTTCTAAGGGTAAGACTGGATTGTCAGGTGGTGGGATGGTATTGAGAGATCATGAAGGCAAAGTAATTGTTGCAGCTTCCTGTTTTTATGGTATTGGTTCCAATATGTTAGTTGAATGTATGGCATTATTTGATGGTTTACTTCTGATTATGCAATATAGTCTGACAACATCTCAGATTATGGTGGAAACTGATTCTTATACTTTATTTCAAATGGTGAGAGGATTAGCTGCTGTTCCATGGAAGATGCAATATCTGTTAGAAAGGATTAAGCTGTTGTTTAATTTTCTGAATTTGCAAATCAAGCACATATATAGGGAAGCTAATGGTCTGGCTGACTTCTTCGCTTCCTTTGCTGTTAAATCAGAACAGTACACTGAATTTTCTGCAACTNTGCAATATCTGTTAGAAAGGATTAAGCTGTTGTTTAATTTTCTGAATTTGCAAATCAAGCACATATATAGGGAAGCTAATGGTCTGGCTGACTTCTTCGCTTCCTTTGCTGTTAAATCAGAACAGTACACTGAATTTTCTGCAACTAATATTCTGCCATCTATTGGGAGGCTTATAATGCAACAAGATTTATATGGATTTCCCTCTGCCAGATTGAAGAGATTGATATGTGAACAAAGAGAAGGTATTGGTTAAGTTTCTGTGTATACAATATGAAATGCCTAGAAGCTGGAAATTGCANGAACAAAGAGAAGGTATTGGTTAAGTTTCTGTGTATACAGTATGAAATGCCTAGAAGCTAGAAATTGCAGTAACTCTAGGAAACATTCTAAAAGGGATTCTATTTTGGTTCTTCTGCTGGTTGGATCTGTGTTGATTCTAGCAGTCCTCTGAGATGATTTATTAGAATCAAGAGCAGTTCTTCAGTTTCTGTTGGCTGCTCCTTTTCCAATATGCCTGGACTATCTTCTGGACTTCTTTTGTGAGCTTTTGAGTGTGGATGATCAGGTTTTCTGATGTCATCCTGTTCCCTTTTGCGTTTCATCTTGAAATGTTGAAGGATCCTGTTTCAGTACAGTTTTATAGGTGATATTTGATGTTTGGTCTACTCTGCATCTGGCCATTTCAGACAACTGGTTATTAATGAATAGTGCATGTATGAGAGCTGTATCTGGACTAGCTCTAGAAGGGTCTGGACAGCCTTATTTGACTGCTTGGCATTCTGACCAATGCTGTAGATTATTTGAGGGGATGATCCTTATTATTTTTGGCAGACTGTTGGGCTTCACTGTCTCTCCCTGGACTGCATTTGCTACCGTTTCTTCTGTGGTTTTAAGGCATTTTCTCAGGATTGTTTCAGCTGGATGGAAAGAAGACATTACAAAGGGATTAATTTTTGAATTACCATTTTACCCTTGTATTGTTTTAGTTGTTATATGTTCATAAGTCACTGTTTTTAGCTTAAAAATAGTGACTTATTTGCTTCTTGTAATTTCTGCTTTTATTCAATAAAATTTTTCTTTAAAAAAAAAAAAAAAAAGGGTTTAGGGTTTAGGGCACTCAATCTGCTATAGCAAAAGGAATTTGGAATCAAAAAACTTTTCCTAGTGCTCAACTATGTGCATGGAAAATTTTTAGAAAAGCTTTAACCACTGATGATAGAGTTCAAAGTGTGGGGGTTGCAATGGCCAGTAAATGTATATTGTGTGGATTAGAGGGGGAAAGCTCTACTCATATTTTCATTGACTGTTCTATGGCTCAAACTGTATGGAGGAAAACTGCAGTGATGATGGGTTTTGATGTTCTGCTTGGAGAATCTCCTTTATGCAGATTTCTAAGACTGCTGAGAAGGTTTAAAACTCCTTCTCTTAGTCATATTTTAATAAGGGGAGTTACTATGCTAATATTTTGGGCTCTGTGGAAGGAGAGATGCAGGAGGAAATTTGAGGGATTGTTCTTAAATGGCCATGCAATTTTCTTACAAGTTTTGAGTGCATTGAAATGGCAGGCTTTCAATATAAAGCCTGGATCAGCTGATGACATTAAGGGTAAGGAGTTATTAAGTGAGCTAAAAATTCAGAATCCTTTTTCTTTAATCATTAAGGTGAAATGGATCAAGTGAAATTCTCCTCCTCCAAATATACTGAAGCTTAATGTTGATGGTGCCTCTAAAGGAAAAACTGGACTATCAGGTGGAGGGGTAGTGGTGAGAAATGATAAAGGGGAAATTATATTTGCTGCTGCCTACTACTATGGGATGGGCTCAAATATGGTTGCTGAATGTAAGGCTCTGCTTGATGGATTATTATTGATTCTGCAGCATGGTTTGTCATCAAATCAGATTGTGGTGGAATCAGATTCTCAGACATTAGTTAAAATGGTGATGGGCTTAGCTGCTATTCCATGGAGGTTGCAACATCAGTTAGAGAGGATTAATATGTTGTTTGGAATGTTGAAATTGCATATTACACACATTTATAGGGAAGCAAATGGGCTTGCTGATTTTTTAGCTTCCTGGGCTGTTAAAAATGAAAGAAGCACTGTTTTCTCTGATGGTACCCTTTTGCCTCTTGCTGGGAAAGTTATTATGCAACATGATCAGAGTGGATTGCCTTCTGCCAGATTAATGAAAATGATTTGTGGTCAAAAGCAAGGCATTGGTTAATATTTCTTCCTATGGGATCAGCTGATGAGATGGGGTTGTAGAAGAAAGTTGCCAAACAGATTCTGAATAGCCATCAGAATTTGCAAATCCATATTATTTCAATCTAATGAAATTACATAATGCAGAAATTCTGGAAGTCAGTGGATCCTTTCTCACTTTGCTTCTTTGGATTGCTGGCTTTGCCTTTATGTTTCCAGCAAATGTTTGAGATGTTCTATCAGCAGTATAATCAGAATTTCCATTTCTGGATTTTCCTGATTATCCCTTCTTCCTCTTGGACTATCTTCGGGTTTAGGGTTTAGGGTTTAGGGTTTAGGAAGGAGGGAGGCAACATTCAATTCTAGAGAGAGAAGCTCTCACTTCTCTCTAAAATTTTTCCATTGATTTTTTTGATTTTAATTCACTTTCTTGATTCTTGTGTCAGATCCAGATTTTTTTGATCATTCTTTGGATTTTCTACATGGAATCGGGTACAATCCAACATCCAATTCCACCAAAACCCCCGGATATTAAAAAAAATTTTGCTTCTCTTTTCAAGAAATCCTCGGTTTTCGCAAATGTTGGGAATGCAGAGTCTTCTCTTTCTGATAAAAATCCTGGAATGAACCTTTCGTCTTCAGCAGTTTGTGTGGGTAACCAGTCTTCTATGCCTCTAACTTTACCTCTGGTATCTCAATCGATTCATTTTCCCCAAATTTCTCAAGAACCCGGTGTTTCTCACAGATCTTCAAACCATCCAATTTCTCGATCTTCTTCTCTTCCTCAAATTAACTTTTTCGGCCAAGATTCGTCAGGGATTCAGTATCCTCTCTCGATTCAGAGCTCTCTGGTTCCTCAAACTTCTTTAGATCCTCATCTACCTGTTTCACGACAGTCTTCGATCGCGAATGTTCCTTCGGCGGATTCTGGTAACTCATCTATGGGAAATGGTTTGCTAACTTCGGCNCTACCTGTTCCACGACAGTCTTCGATCGCGAATGTTCCTTTGGTGGATTCTGGTAACTCATCTCTGGGAAATGGTTTGTTAACTTCGACTGGGATTCCCAAACCAGCGAAGAGGGTTGTTTACAACAATGGTGAACCTGGAATGTATTGGACCTCTGAAGAAACATTAGAGTTGTCGAAGGGTTTCAGTCAAACTCTAATAGGGAAATGCGCATATGGTAAGCCTTCACTGGGAGTTATTCGAGAGTTTATTGCTACAAAGTGGCTTCCCAAAGGTGATTTCTCGATAGGTATTTTAGATCCTAGACACATTCTTATTCGTTTTAGTCTTCTGGAGGATTATGTGAAGACATGGCTGAAAGATGCTACATATATAGAAGGTTTTTTGTTCAGATTTTTTAAATGGTTCCCGAAATTTCTTCCAGGAATTGAACCTCCAATTGTTCCAATGTGGATATCGTTGCCTGGGCTTCCTGTTCATCTCTTTAATAGAGAGAGTCTTCGAGATATTTTGAGTCCAATTGGGAAAATATTGGTGTTTGATAATTCAACTTTGCAGCTGACTAGGCCAGGAGTGGCGAGGGTGTGTGTTGAAGTTAACTTGTTGCAGTCTAATCCTAGAAGATTCTGGCTTGACATGGGGGGGAATAGTGGTAGATGGCAAAGAATAGTATATGAGAAGGATTTTAGGTACTGTGCTGCTTGTCTGAAACAGGGACATGATGGTAATACTTGTAGGAAAAAGAGGATTGCAAAAGGGGATGAGGAGAAAGGGAATGGGCAGAATGTTGAGGTAAACCAGCAGAAAGAGATCAATATTCAGAGTGGAGTGGATCATGTTGTGATAAATATTGCTGATAAAGGGAAAGGAATTGTACAGACTATGCCAGGAGGAAATCAGAAACAAGCTTTTAAAAGAAAAGAAGTTGTTCATAAGCCAGAGATTGGAAATAGATTCAGTGCTCTGGCTTTTGAGGAATAGAGTCATATTGTGGAAAGTGGAGAACATTTGATTGAGCCAGCTGTACAAATTGGGGAAAAAAATTGTTCGCATGAAGTAGAAGAGGAAATCTTAAATGTCTCAGGTAGAGAAAATGTGGAAGTTGAAGGGGTGGATAAAGTAAAGGATTCGATTACAGAAATGAATGTTGCTATTGAAGTTGATCAGGGTTCTGAAATGCAGATGAGAATGTCAAAATTAGGGGACGATGCTGAAAATACTTCTTTAATTGTGAGGGGGGGGGGTGCAAGAGTCTAAATCTTGTGGGGAGATTAGAGAACCAGAGTTACCTGAAAGTCAAGGGGTAGAAGGAGAGGTATCAGTTACGTTAATGAAGAAGGGGAGTAGGGATGATTGTGTAGTGCTAGTTGAACGAGAAGTTTCTTTTCATGTAAATGACAAGTCTTCTTTTTTTACTGGAAATGAGGGAGGAAAAAGTGGAAAGATGAGAGAAAAGGAGATAGGGGAGGGAATAGATGATATTGTGTGTTGTTTAAACAAACAAGCATCTCTTTCTTCAGATTCTTCTTTTTTTGTGGATAGACATTATGATGTTAGACAGTTGTTGCAAGTATCTCAGGATGATAATGATGGTTTGGTAAAGGAAAATGAGCTACTTGAAAAAGGTTTCTTATCTGATCAAAATAGTTCGAAGACTTGGGCGGATTTATCGGAAAGATTTTCTGATGATGAAGAGGTTCATGGTTTGGAAATAAGGCAGAGTCCTGAGGTTAATCCCGAACACATGTCCTCATTATGAACTTAATAATGTGGAATGTGAGAGGGGCTGGTAATGAAAGTATGAGAATCAGATTAAAAAAGCTTGTGGTGATGAACAAAGTTTGTTTTTTGGCTGTGCTAGAACCAAAAATGTTGGCAGTAAGGATGAAATCTTTCTCTGTATCAGTGGGATTGCGTTTTTTTGTGGCAAATACTCAAGCGGAGAAGAATATATGGTTGTTTTGGAAGGAGGGAGTAGATGTGAAGGTGATTTTGGAACATGAGCAGGCTATTACTGTATCTGTTTGTTGCTTGGATTCTGATCCAATTCTTGTGACAGTTGTGTATGCGTGTTGTGATTACTTGTTATGAAGGCCTTTATGGCAACATATACAAGTAATTTCTTCCTCTTTTTCTTTGCCTTGGTTACTAATGGGAGATTTTAATACGGTGTTGTGTTCAGGGGAGAGATTGGGGGGTGCTTACCCCTCTGTTGTTGCGATGGAGGATTTTGGTAATTGTATACATTCGGCTGGGCTGGTGGATTGTGGCTTTGAGGGGAGCAGCTATACTTGGTGTAATAATCATCAGGGGGGAACAAGAATGTGGCAGCGTTTGGATAGGGTTTTTATAAATCCTATTTGGAATGCTAAGTTTGATAATTCTCAGGTGGTACATTTAGCGAGAGGAAGTTCAGATCATTGTCCTCTGGTGGTGAAGGTAACGGAAAAAACAGAGCAACATCGAATTTCTTATTTTAAATTTTTGGATATGTGGACTGAGGAGGTTTCTTTTTTGCCACTGGTTGTGGATGTGTGGTGTGGTTGTTTTTCTAGTAATCCTATTGAGGATTTTTTCTTAAAGTTAAAATTTCTTAAAGTTCGACTGAGAGGATGGAATAAAGAAGTTTTTGGGAATATATTTGAAAAAATCAAGCTACAGGAGATGGAAGTGTGTAATGCTGAAAGAACACTGGAGGCTGATTTTTCAGAGAGCAGTCTTTTGACATTGGAGAAAGCAAGAAAGAGCTNTTTTCAGAGAGCAGTCTTTTGAATTTGGAGAAAGCAAGAAAGAGTTTGGATGATACCTTGCGGTTGGAAGAAATGTTTTGGAAACAAAAAGCAAATGTAAAGTGGGCTTTAGAAGGAGAAAGGAATACAAAATTTTATCATGCTATAGCTAAAGGGAAGGCAGTTAGAAATAGCATAAAAAGAATTAAATGTGAGAATGGGAGCTGGGTTTGTTCTGAAGATGAGATTGCTGATCAAGCAGTGAATTTTTTTGCATCCTTATATAAATCTGAGGATCATGTTTTGGAAGATGCANTGGATTTTTTTGCATCCTTATACAAAACTGAGGATCATGTGTTGGACGATGTATTGTTTGAGGAAATTCCGTTTCTTGTGAGTGAATCAAATAATGAATCGCTTACTTGTCTTGCTTCCATGGCAGAACTGAAGAATGTGGTGTTCTCAATGGCAGTGGAAAGTGCACCAGGTGTAGATGGGTTTCCTGGGAAGTTTTATCAAGTTGCTTGGGATGTGATTAAGGAAGACTTGTTAAAAGCTACAAATTTTTTTCTAGAAGGTGGAGTAGTGCCAAGGTCGGTGAATGCCACTTTGTTGGCATTGATTCCAAAGAAATTAAATCCAACAAGTTTTGCAGAGTTTAGACCTATTAGTTTATGCAACTTTTTGTATAAAATTTTTACAAAGTTGCTTGCTAATACGTTAGCTGTTTTCTTGCCTTCTTTGGTTTCGGANTTAGCGAGAGGAAGCTCAGATCATTGTCCTCTGGTGGTGAAGGTAACGGAAAAAACAGGGCAACATCGAATTTCTTATTTTAAATTTTTGGATATGTGGACTGAGGAGGCTTCTTTTTTGCCACTGGTTGTGGATGTGTGGTGTGGTTGTTTTTCTAGTAATCCTATTGAGGATTTTTTCTTAAAGTTAAAATTTCTAAAAGTTCGACTGAGAGGATGGAATAAAGAAGTTTTTGGGAATATATTTGAAAAAATCAAGTTACAGGAGATGGAAGTGTGTAATGCTGAAAGAACATTGGAGGCTGATTTTTCAGAGAGCAGTCTTTTGAATTTGGAGAAAGCAAGAAAGAGTTTGGATGATACCTTGCGGTTGGAAGAAATGTTTTGGAAACAAAAAGCAAATGTAAAGTGGGCTTTAGAAGGAGAAAGGAATACAAAATTTTATCATGCTATAGCTAAAGGGAAGGCAGTTAGAAATAGCATAAAAAGAATTAAATGTGAGAATGGGAGCTGGGTTTGTTCTGAAGATGAGATTGCTGATCAAGCAGTGAATTTTTTTGCATCCTTATATAAATCTGAGGATCATGTTTTGGAAGATGCATTGTTTGAGGAAATTCCGTTTCTTGTGAGTGAATCAAATAATGAATCGCTTACTTGTCTTGCTTCCATGGCAGAACTGAAGAATGTGGTGTTCTCAATGGCAGTGGAAAGTGCACCAGGTGTAGATGGGTTTCCTGGGAAGTTTTATCAAGTTGCTTGGGATGTGATTAAGGAAGACTTGTTAAAAGCTACAAATTTTTTTCTAGAAGGTGGAGTAGTGCCAAGGTCGGTGAATGCCACTTTGTTGGCATTGATTCCAAAGAAATTAAATCCAACAAGTTTTGCAGAGTTTAGACCTATTAGTTTATGCAACTTTTTGTATAAAATTTTTACAAAGTTGCTTGCTAATACGTTAGCTGTTTTCTTGCCTTCTTTGGTTTCGGATGCTCAGCATGGTTTTGTGAAAGGGCGCAGTATAGGGGAATGTATTTCACTAGCTCAGTATATGGTCTCTAAACAGGATAGAAAAGTGGAGGCAGGGAATATAATAGTTAAGCTTGATATGATGAAGGCATACGATCGTATTGAATGGGATTAGGGTTTAGGGTTTAGGGTTTTAGGGTTTTAGGGTTTAGGGTTTAGGGTTTAGGGTTNAGGAGTAGATGGGTTCTCTGGGAAGTTTTTTCAGGTTGCTTGGGAGGTGATTAAGGCAAATTTGTTAAAGGCTGCAAATTTTTTTCTAGAAGGCAAAGTAGTGCCGAGGTCAGTGAATGCCACTTTATTGGCATTGATTCCAAAGAAATTAAATCCAACAAGCTTTGCAGAGTTTAGGCCTATTAGTTTATGCAACTTTTTGTATAAGATCTTTACAAAGTTGCTTGCTAATAGGCTAGCTGTTCTTTTGCCTTATTTGGTATCAGATGCTCAACATGGTTTTGTGAAAGGGCGAAGTATAGGGGAATGTATTTCACTGGCTCAGTACATGGTCTCTGAACTGGACAAAAAAGTGGAGGCAGGGAATGTAATAGTTAAGCTTGACATGATGAAGGCGTATGATCGTATTGAGTGGGATTTTCTGAAAAAGACTTTGAGGTGTTTTGGTTTTTCTGATCTCTTTGTGTCCATTATTGGAAATTGTTTGAGTAATCAATTCATATCAGTGTGTTTAAATGGTTAGAGAAAAGGTTTTTTTCCCACATCACGGGGGTTGAGGCAAGGGGATCCAATATCCCCGTCGCTTTTTATTTTGGCAAAGGAGGTCTTAAGTAGGGGCCTGTCGAAGTTGTTTATTGAGAGGAAGATTAAGTCTTTTCATACTGGGAGAGGGGCTTTAATGGTCTCTCATTTTCTCTTCACTGATGATACGTTGTTGTTCTTGAAAGGAAATAAAACTTCGATGGAGATTTTGTTTTCTTTTTTGAGCAAGTATGAAGAATGTTCTGGGCAGAGGATTAGCAGACCGAAAAGTTCTATGTATTGTTCTGCAAAGATTTCTCAGGCAAGAAAAGTGATTTTATCGAGAGTTGCTCAGATTCCTATAAAAGAATGTCCTTTTATGTGCTTAGGTTGTCCTATGATTAAGGGAAGAAACATAATTAGGGATTTTGAAGACCTTTTTCTTAAATTTAAAGCTAAGCTTGAAGACTGGTATGCAAAATTGCTGTCCAATATGGGAAGAGTAGTTTTGGTG